GGTGCCCGGTGCTGGGGGAGGCTGAAGCGGGGGCTTTGAAACTGCACCTTGTCAAGTCGAGGTGTTAGCAAGGCGTCTCCTGCTGGGGCCTGCTGCTGTGAGCCGGGAGTGTTGGCCCCTGCAGCCGGGCGAGCTCAGAGTGGGAACCTGCACCTGCAGATTCCTCATCCACACTTCATGCCTGCATCTCCTTGTAAGCTTTCTGTGATGGCTTTGAGCCTGGATCTAGCTTTTTGATCTTCTGCGGCCTCCTGTGGACCGTGAGGCAGTGTTTGTTGTTGTGAGGGACTGTTGGTGTGCCCAGATTTCAGAACGCCGTTCCGAAGGCAGGCAACCATGGAGACACTTGGTTGAGTTCTTGGGGGTGTTCTTGCTCTTCACAAAGGTGGTGCCCCCCAGGCTGAAGTCTTTGGCAATTTTGGCTTCTGCATGCTCAGGGACAGCTGGATAGGAAAGAGCTGATCCCCCCTGTTCACAGCGTAGCCCCGTGGGTGCTGGGACATGATGCTGCGGGGGTTCAGGCAGTGCCTTTCTGTGTCTCTGTAGGTCCCGGGCCCAACGTGCCCCCGGTGTATGGCTTGGAGGTGTCTGATGGCTTGCGGTGGGAGGAGGATGTGCTGAAACCTGCTCTGGAGATTGTGGAAAGCTTCATCCAGGTACTGAATAACTGGAGTTATACCTGAGCTGTGACTGGAAGCCCATGTCTTGGCAGTCTCCAGGTCTCATAACCTGGCACTTAAGTCTCTCCCATGAGTAGTGCTGTTTTATGGCGAGTCCGGCCTTGGGTTTTCCTCGCAGCGGCAGAGGGTTGTTGTCAAAGCTGAAAATTTCTCCTAATGCCCAGTGTTCTGCTTGTCTTGTGTGCTAAAACTGCTGCGTCTGTCCTGCTGACCTGAGTGCGTGGCTACGGCAGGTTCACATCCCAAACTAACAAAGTGAACCCAGCCAGGCCGATTTTCATAGAAACCCATTTGGAAACGTTATTTAATCTGCAGGGACGGGAGCCCCCAGCAGAACCCGTGAAGATGGAGTACGACGTCAGCGAGAACAAACGGAGCCATCGCGTGTGTGAGCTCTGCGACAGGGTCATCATCGGCGACAGGGAGTGGGCAGGTAGGATCTGGCGTGGGGGCGAGGAGGGGACCTGGAATGAGGCAGCTCTCAGGAGCGTGGTGGCTTCCTTGGGGGTCTCTGTTTAGCCCGATGACCCTCAGCACGTGATCTTGGGCTTTCAAGGATTGTTTACAGCCCCGTGTATGAGAGCAGCCATTTGCAAGCCCAGAGGGGGTGCAGGAGCTGTGCCACAGCAGCCATCTGTCGGGCTTCCCCCCCTGCCCCAGCACCCAGTAAACACGGCCGCTCGCTGCCGTCACGCCAGACAACGCGGGGATCTGTACGTAGCGGTGGGCCTCAGAGCTGTCTGCCTTGAGTCGGGGCTGCTGGTCCTTCTCTGCACTTTAGATACTTTGTCAATAAGTTTTTTCTTCTAAAATTTTTCTTCCAAAATTTTTTTCTTCTAGATTTTGTTGGGTAAAATGAAAGTTTCTTAAGTGTTTTTAATAGCTCAGGTTTGCTCCGATATCTCCTACTTGTATGTGTGTGTGGTTTTGTTTCTTTTTTTTAAAAAAAAGATAAATAAAAGTATTCCTAGCTGTAATGGTAATAGAAAGGGATTTTCTATTTTCAATAGACTTACTTTAAAAGAGCTCAGCTGGAATCAGATTAACTCAGTGAATTTATCTGTGCTGTGAGGCTCATGCTGAGAACCAGAAACAAAAAGTAGCAGAGAAGCTGCCTGCAGAAATGAAACTGGTAAATCTCCATGTGTTGCCGGAGCGTGGTAGATACAGACGCAATGCAAAGATAAATTTCCTGGGTTGGCGCTCGCTGGATTTGAACGAGTCGCTTATTCCTACTGAGCCAGGGAACTGCCGAAAGTAAAGATGGCTCAGAACTGGAAACTCATTGCAGCAAGGTTGGTTTGTACGTGTAGTTGTTATTTTAGCAGGTCTCAGCGTGGAGGTGCTTTGAAGGAGCTCTACCTCCTCCAGAACTAGAGGACTCAAAGCAGTCAGGGTCCGTGCCATCCTTCTAGGTCCAGTGAGTTTTGTGACCAAGTGGGGAGCTCCTCAACATCCCCTCAAAAGCTACAGCTACAGCTGCGTGTCCTCTAGGGATGCCATCCCGAATTTTGATAGATGGTGACAATAGCTTTGTCAACCAAGACTAGCTGTTGCTCTCTGCATCCAGCTGAATTTGGCTCAAATCCCCGGATGGTGGGAGAAAAATGGTCCAAAACCTGGGTGTGACTTGTAACTGCAAAATGTAAAAGCTCAAGGGGAAGTGAAAACAGTAGTGGGAGCTGAGTGGATCTGCAGTCTGGTCTGTTTTCTTAAGTCGAGTTACAGATTAAGTCTGGGAACTGCTTCCCAGTACCCCGCTGGCTCTGGAAGGCTTTAAAATTTTATCTAATTTTACAATTCATATGGACTTAAAAGAGCATACCTCCCCAGACAGCAGCAGCAGCAGCAATCAGCTCTTCTTCCAGCCACTGTAAGCTTTGGTGTCGCTTGTGACAAATTGTAAGAGGTGAGACTTTATTTCAGGCTGAGGGTGACCCTCGAGCATTGTGATAAAGCAGCAGCTGTGCATGTCATTTCGTCCTTTGGCAGAAAAGGATGGCTGGAAAACACCTGAGGGCCTTGATTCAGTAGCACATACCCTTGTTTAATTAAGGCCCTGCTTGAAAAGTTTGCTGCTTTAATTGCTGCTCTGATCTCTTGGAAATAGCAAAACCACCCTGCTAGGATGGTACGTTGGTCTGATTAGACAAAGCACCTTCTACTTAGATAATACCACTGATACAGGAGTTTTTACTCTCCTTAACTAAGCGATTTCAAACAGAAACACAGCTCCTGCTGTGCCAGGACATGCTGCATCCTTGGGGATTACACCTCTGTTCCCAGATTACACCTCTGTTCCCACTCTGACTGCCGCTGAAGTGCTCTCGTGGCTTTGGGCCTTGCCCTGGAGTTATGCAAAAGCATAATTACGCTCCGGGCTCGGTCCCTAGCCGCTCTGTAGGTTGTCCCCAGCGCTGTGGTGCAGGCATCTTAAGCTTACAAATGATCCTGGCGGCGCTCCATGGGCTGGTGGAGAGTTGCACAACCTTGCCCGCGTCCTGCAATGTGCCACCTCTTTGGTAGCGCTTTGCTTTCTCCCGGCAGCGGCGACTCAGTCAGGAGCTGACTTGCTGGGAGTCTTGAGTCCCAACAACCTGGAGTCTTCTGCATAGGCAGAACCAGAATTTTCTCCTCTCCCAGTCCTTCCTGCGGTCAGGAGAAGGCTTGGAAGGGCTGTCCCACACCTAGAAGTGTCTTGAGGAATGACTGGGGCAGGGCTTGGGAGTTCACTTTTCTGTGAGAGGATGGGAAGGGAGGGTGTTCTGCCTTGCACGGGAGGATTGGGTGGGATGTTTCCTTCTCCTGGTTCCCCAGAGCTAAATTCTCTGTTTGCCTCTTCCTCCAGCTCACACACGGTCCAAATCCCACCTGCACCATCTGAAGAAGAGAAGGAAGCTGGAGGCCACCAGCCGTGCTGCAGGGACCTCGGAGGACAGCGGGGCTGGCGCAGAGACCCCAGGCGAGGAGAGCAGCTCGCCTTTGCCCTAGCCCTGCAGACCAGCTGGCGAAGGGGAGCAGCCCTGCTTCCACCCGTACGGCAGCGAGGAAGCGACTTAGTCCTGGGTGGCCTCGAACCGAACGAACTGAGTCTTTTTTTTTTTTTTTTTTTAATGAGGCAGGTACGTAAGTGACGGGCAAAGGCTGCGGCTGCATCACATCTTCTTCATGTGGCCTCGTCGTGCTGTGTTCCCATGCTTCCCCAGCCCTGCCTGGAAAGGGCTGGGCCCTGGGGCAAGGCTGTTAGGAGGAGCATCTTCCCATGCAGAGTGTTAATTCCTGCCAGAGACACGGCATTATCCTTGGAATGGTTGAGCCGATCCCGCTGGCATGCGAACGGGTCGTTCTCAGAGATAGAAACACCCTGCACACCTCCAGCTTGGCCGGGAGTGCAGCTCCAGAGCTGAGTGATCTCTTACCGCCTTTATTGTGGAGAGGGTATTTTTTTCCTTTTATATGGAAATAAAGTTGGAAGATGATTGTGAGTTCTCCGCCCTCTTAAAAAGTGCAGTTTTCTCACTGTCTCTTTCCACCTGGTGCAGGTTCCCTGCTCTGGGCACAGGGCAGGGTGTCCAGGCCTTGCTTCCTTCTTCCCGTCACCTTTTCTTGCAGCTTCTAAGGGAGCTGAGCAGATGTTCTCAGCTTGGAGAAGGCAGCCTGATCCCTGAGCACATGGCAGGTGCAGAAGGAGCTGGCACCTGTTAAACAGGAACTTGGAAATGATCTCATCAAGTTTGCAACAGATGAGTCTGTCCTAGTTAAAGCTGAATTCCTGGGGGTTTACACTGTGGTTTGGCAGTGGGAACCAGCCCTGCATTTGAATCCGAGTTGCTGAGCAGCAAATTCCTTGCGCAGCGTCCGCGAGGCAGTTGGTCGCCGCCGTGTCGTTCCTGGAGGACGCGAGCTCTGTCTGCGCCGCTGGCTGGAACCGGGAGGGCCTTTTCCCAGGGCCTTTGGGATTCTCCTGGCAAAGGCGATTGAGACAATTCCTCCTGGGAGGGTTTTGGGGTGCTAGAGCACATTTTTTTCCTTCGGCTGCTCGCAATACCCCATGTGGCAGAAGCCATCTCTGGGGACTCAGCCTGCGAGGGGAAGGGCTGCGTGGGTGGATCTGTCTTCGCGGGCTCTGGAGATGCCTGCGCTGGTGGGGATTAGATTAAACCTCCGGTTTGTGTTCCTCAGCACTGAATTATTTCTGTAACGCTCTGTGAGGTGGCTACCTTGGGCTGTTTGATAGGGATGTGGAGTGTCTTGGGACCTCCTACTGAAGGGAATATGGAAGGAAGAGCTGGGAATTTGGGTTGACTTTCTTCGTGCCAGCTTCAGGCAGAACTGGGAGTCACCTTCGACATGCCCGGCACCGCGTTTGTGTCGCCGGGTCTGTTGGCAGCGCCAGCTGAACCTCTGCTCCAGCCCAGGCTTGTCCTCCATCCATGCTGACTCAGGCACCTGTGGAGCTGGGCTCAGTGCAGCGCTGGAACACACGGTCCTGGCGTGGAGCCGTGTTCTCCCGGCCTGGATGGACGAGGTGGTGGTAGAGCCCCGATTGCCGCTGATGTGCTGAGCCTGGTTTTCTGACAGACAGC